TGGGCTCTATGCTGATGGCTCAGAGCCTGGAGCCTGCTTTGGATCCTGTACCTACCCCTCTCTCTCCCTCTCCCACTTGTGCTCTCTCTCTCTCTCTCTCTCTCTCTCTCTCTCTCTCAAAAACAGAAATAAATATTAAAAAAAAAAAATTTTTAACGGTGCAGACCTTAAGCAAGTTATTCAGCCTCAGTTTCTGGATCTACAAACTGGAAATAATATAGTTCTTCCCTCATAAGGTTGTTCAAGAATAAGATAGGTTGTACAAATTAATGCTGCAATAGTCTTCAGTGTGTTAAAATGCAGTACAGGATACACTGAATTTTTAATGTTTTATATATTGAACAGTTATTAAAGCATTTATATGTGTAAAGTATAAAGAATAGCAGTATAACAAAACCTATGTACCCACCCAGGTTAAGAAAATGACAATTACAATTTATATGCCCCTCCCTGATTCCATTCCTTGTCCATTCCCCATGAGGGAACTGTTACCTTCTCCATATTTTATCTTTAATTTTTGTTTAGCACTAACCCTATTGCTATGCACCAGGTTCTGTTCTATGTACTTTCCAAAATGTCCACATCTCGACCTCCCAACAACCCCACGAAGTGGAGAACATTATTATCTGCATCCTGCAGATGCGGAGTGTGGCACAGGGAAGTATGATGGTGTGCTCACAGTTTATAAGTGGAGCTGCCAGGATTTGAACCCAGGCAGTGAGCCTCCAGAGTCTACATTCTTGGACACACTCAGGCTTGAAACACAGCGCTAAGGGCATTCTCATCCTTTGTACTTGAACGAACACTTACTAAACACCCACCATGTGCCAGGCACCATGCTCAGCACTGAGGAACTTAAGAAGCTTCTTGCTCTGGCACCCGACAGTTCCCAGAACATCGGTTCCTCCCACAGCTGCGGGTTCGGGCTCTGCCCATTCAACATGCAGGCCCTGGCTAGGCAGCCTGCAAGCCCCTGGGAGCCGCATGGGGCCTTGAGGAAAGGCAAGCAGGCCCAGCCACTTCACCTTGGTGTTGGCCCGGTGGTTCTCTACAACAATCAATCCCCAAGGAACCACGGGAAATTCCGAACTTTCTGCCCCCGCTCCCAGCCTCTTCCTCATCAAGGCTTCCTCTGAGAAGTGAACCACGTAGGAATCTGCAGGAATCCACGGCCTTTGCCAGCAAGCAGGCCAGTTGCAGCCTTGTAGCCCAGCCCACAAGGAAAGACCTCTGCTTTAGCACATGTCACCCCCCTAATTATTCCCTGTGCCTGGAGTCCAACAATAACAGAGCATCTTTCATGAGCAGCTCCCACCACGAACCTTGGAGCCTCATGCGCACAGCCAAGCACTGGGAAGTGCTAAAGGGTCAGGGGGGTTGTGCGGCCAGCAGTCCCAGGCCTCTGGGGGAGAATCCCAGCCACTCTCCAGTCCAAAATCCAGCCCCAGAAAAACTGCCTGAGGCCCCATCTGCCTCCAGGGCCCACTTCCTGGGGCTGGCCTGGGTCACTGTGGGTGGGGCCCCAAGAAGAGCCAGCAGATCAGAAAGCAGCTGCACCCAAGTCACCAAGGGGAAAAAGGGGTGGGGAACAGGAGACTAAAGATGTTTCCTCCAGGGTCACATTTCAGCAAGTGCTCCCAAGGCTACACTATACTACAAAGATTGGGTTTTCAGTAAATTTAGTCACTAAATACCAGTCCTGGCAGACTCTGGGAGTGGGGGATATGGCTCTGGGATAGAACAGCAAGTAAAACAGCAATGTCCCCTACATTACCCAGGCGAGGGGCCAGGAATAATCAATTAATAATTTCAGATCGTGGTTAGTGCTTTGAAAAACACAAAATATCCTTGTCCAAGCATGTGGGTGGGCACGGAAATGGATATGAGCTAAGATCTAAATAAGGAGGAGCTAGCAAAGCAAAGGCAAGGGAAAAGCATTCCAGGCAGAGAGAACAGAAGTGCAAGACCCTGAGGCCTCTGATTAAATACTCATTAGGGGGTTAAAAAATGATGAAAAACTAGTGCTTTCAAAATTCTAGTACAGGGTAGTTATTTCCTTAAGAGTATAAAGATCAAAGTACTATGTTGGAAAAAAAAAAAAAATTGTCCCTGGCTTTAAATGAAGATGCAAAAAGAATGTGTGTGAATATATATTTACATTTATGTGTCTCACAAGGATCTTTTTAAAAAGCCTTTCATGTCTATCCTTTAAACTTTTGTAATATAGGTTGAAAGCATGATACAATCTTTAACTTCCAGCTCATGCACTGAAAGATCTTTCTCCTAGAACTAATGAAGACATCCCTTCTGTCGGGATATAATCTACCTCCCTTGTTCCAGAATTTGAAGTAAGAAGGCCATGTACCCCTAATTGCAACTATGTAAAAAAAAAAAAAAAAAAAAAAATACGTGTGCGCATGGATTAAGCCGGCGGGAGTACAGGAAGGGGTGGCAGTTGTTTTTCAAAATTCCTGTTTTGTTATTAAAACTGGGAAGAAAAGAATACATTGTGCATAACTGTGCCATCTTCCTGTCTTCAGTGTTAATAAATGTGGTTTTTACTGCTGTTAATATCCCATTTCCAGCATCACTACCACTTACATCCTCTCCCAACTACAAATAGAGTTGAAAAGTGCACGAGGTATTCACAAACCCTTGTAACAGTTGAGTGCGTCTGCTCACGTGCAACCCGTGTGCACCCTTCTTTCTCTCTGTGGACGGAATTTCTTGGGGATCCTTCGGGCTCCTAGCCATATTTCTCCCTAGGCTCTTATTAAAACCAGGTGTGCAGGAGGCGGGCGTTTTGGACAGAAAAGGCATCGCTTGGCCCAAAACTCCCCCTTCCGGTGTGTTTTCTAGAAGGGATTCGTGAGCTGACCAAAGAGAAAGCGGGCAGCTCGTCCTGGCCGGGCAAACGGGGCGTACTTGTCAAGGAAGACACGCAGCCTGTCTGTGCCAGGGCCAAGTGTGTAAGGGCAAAAAGTGAGGCCGGGGGCGGGGGACGCTGCGCCCGGGCCCCAGGAGTGTGGTCCGCGCGCTGGGGAAGCCTCCGAACCACAGCTCGCCCCGCGGCGGAAGAGAAGGCGCGGAAGAGCAGCCGCGAAGCCGCCTCGGATCTGAGCTTGAAAGCCGGGGCGCGGAAGAGCCGGAGGAGCCGGCGGAGCCGCAGAGCTCGCTCGCCGCCGGCTTCCGGAACGTCCGCGGGGCACCTGGCGCTTACCGTGGGCGGCCGATGGCGCTCGCGTCTCCAGGGAGCGGGTGGGCCCGGCGCGGGGCGCGGGGTGCGGCGGCCCGAGCGCTCCGTGCGCCCGCCAAGCACGCGGCAGCCCGGCGCCCGGATCCTGAGCTGCGGTCGGAGACTCGGCGCTGTGCGGCGCGGGCCTCTCCGCCCGTGACCTTCGACCCGCCGTCGGG